GTTTTCCAACACGGATGTGACGTCACTCTCGAGTTGCAAGTCGCGATTACGAGACAAAACGAACGCACCATGAAACTGCCTGTTGTTCTGTTTCCGGTCGAACTAGATCCGGTGTGGTGTTGTAGTTTTTCTAACGTTACTAGTTGTTGCAACAGCATGTGAAAAAAACTACAAAGTGTGCTAGGCCACTTACACAACACTTATCGCGTTAATCGCGCGATAAAAAAAATTGACGCCGTTAAAACGCGTTTAACTGACAGCACTACTTATTATCTATGACCCATCCATCGGAGACATTACAGAGGAGTGTGGTGCTGCAGGTACCGATCAGCCTCCGCCTTTAAAAGTGTCCTGTTCTTATAAATACACTGACATTTTAAGGTTAACATCCACAATAACGGCAGTGAAATGTCTGTTTAACCACAGTCTGAAGGTCGGTCACCTTGTGAATATGTCTCCAGTTCTTGTCGTCTTTCAGCCGTTTCCACAGCATTGTCATGATCTCGTTGCACGCCACCACATTGTAGGTCAGATCGGAGATGTCAGCCATCTGAGAGCTGGAGGGGCCCCACGGGTCGTTAGACGTCGCCTCTCTCACCTGCAAACCAAAGCAAAGCGAGAAAATGCGAGTGTGTAGGAAAATGAGGTGGCAGCAGCCCAAAAGGTCAGGATGCCAGCTTGTGACAAAAAGGCTCTGCAGTAAGAAATTGCGGCACCGGTTACAGTTTAGAAAATCCTCCTTGCCTTCATCAGGTTACCTGTTCTGCCACGTTATTGCAGATCATGTTTCATCAGATCTTATGATGTCCCTGTATCTGCCTTACTTTAATAACCTGAAGGCTAGGATGTAAGACAATGGCTCTTCCATCTGTGTGGTTTCTGCTGCAGGTTTTGAGAGACAGTATGACTCTTTTGTATTCATGCATATGCTGCCAGATATTAATATTATATTAATATTTATTAAGTTAGTGGCTTCCAACCTCTAAAGGGTTCACAAGATAAATCTGAAGGGACACAAATGATTAAAGGGACGAGAGAAATAACAATTTATGTTTATTTTTGCAACTTTTTTAGCATTTTCATCGACTCACTGTGACAATGAGAACAATTATATGTGCTAACTGTTGTAGAAACTTTAAATGAATGCCACATATATGATGTTCGATACCGTCATGGTGCACAAAACATCTAAAATGTGTCACTGGATATTTAAAAACAGGCATTTTGGGGGGTGCTAGAGGTTATATGTCACTCTCTACCTCTCCTCCCTCGTTTACCTGTCACCTCTCTACTGTCTCCTATCTAATAAAAGCAAAAACGCACCTCGAACCAAACGTACAGAATAAAAGCATCTTATTTTCTGCTACGGGGGAAATAACGTTAACAGTTTTTAACATTACTTCAGTTCCTCTCACCTTGACCTCGGCCTCAGAGTAGTTCTGGACCAGGTTCTTCAGTTGTCGGCGGAGCATGGAGGACGTCATGGTGTCTGGGGGGGGAGGCGGGCAATCAAACCAGCCACGAACCTGCTTCAGAGAAGACTTGTGAACAGTGCAATCACACACATGCTCACACATCGTTACACAACACATATGAATCCCATACCTTCAGTAGAGCCTGGCTGTGCTGTTATGGACTTTGGTTTTGTGCTGCTTGTTGCTGGCTCAGTCGGAGAACATCCTGCTGATCTCTCTTCCTCCTGACTGCATCGGTTTGTCTCAGGATGTCAGAAACCAGATCCTCCAGCTGCAGGGAGAGAGAGAGACAGAGAGCTGAGGCATGGGTTGGCACGGAGCGACAACGGCGAGCAGACAGGTGTGAGTGTGTCACTGCAAAGCTTCACTAAAGGTGTGCCTGCAGCTCCTTTTACTGTCATAATCACTGCGACAAACACAGATCCTTCTAGGTTAGCTCCGTGGCTAAAGCTGCGAGCTAGAAACAAGCTGCGAGCGAGAAAACAGAAGCTAGAAACTCCTTTATGAAGAGTCTGAGCCACATCCACCGCAAGACGACGTGTTGGCGAGTAACTCATCTGTCAGAGAGGTCACACATCGTGTTTTCAGGACCTCGGAGAGCGACTGGAGACGAGCAGCAGCCGTCAATATGGCTAACGGGGCAGCGATGTTTGTTAAGCCTGCAACAACCAGCTCATATCAGCCTTCAGCGATCAGAGGAGGGTTAAATCTCTACCGAAACCCCGCTGCTTTTAGCTCGACATAACACCCACGGTTCGCGCAATGCTTCGTGCATTAAATAGGAGTGTTTGCGGCACAAAAAACCCCAAACATAAAGCACAGTAACACACTAACCCCGAGCGGATCTTCACGAATCTTCGAGGAGACGAAACGACGCGACAGTTTCCGCTTCCGCAGTTTTCAGCACCTGCAAGGCCACGCCCCCTCACGACACATATTTTTATTATTATATGTATATTTATTTTTTAAATCATTTTAAAACACATTACTGACAACCACTTCTGCGTATTTTATTCTGAAAATTAAAAATAAATTACATATATATATATATATAAAAAAAAATCTAATATATACAGTTTAATGGGAGTAAATTACCGTTAATTAACGGTTAAACTACCGTTAACAGTTATAATGGATGGAGGTCTGTGTGAGCTTCAGCTGACGCCGTCTGGCGGTTAGGACGTCGCAAACTACCAACACACGCACACTCACACACACGCACACAATAAATGAGTCACAACATCAATAACAGTAGAATCAAGATGGCGGCCGAGGGCGAGTACGAGTCGATCCTGTGCGTGAAGCCCGATGTCAACGTTTATCGCATCCCGCCGCGCGCTTCCAACCGCTCCTACAGGTATAAAGAGAGATAACCGTTGGCCGTTAACGGCGCGGTGGATTACGGTTTAACGGGGTGTTTGGGTGTCAGTCGGTGTGGGTTTTTTTTTTTTTTGTCACTTTCACCGCCGGTTTACACACGTTAATAAAAAAAATCACGATTACGGGGCAGTGGCTTTATGTTAACGTCGTTCACCGGGGGATGAAAACACGGTTTCCAGCCGTTGGTCGGTGTTGTGTGTCGGCCGAGCTGACAGAGATGTGACGGCGGTGTGTGTCATCATGCCGGGTCGATACGGGGCGATGTGCCAGCCGTTAGTGTGACAGCCGTTAGTGTGACAGCTTGGACTGTCCTCTTTTACACAGTGGAAACTATTGAACTGAAACCACCATTTTGGCTCCTCTCCTTCCATCTGTGTAGTTTCTGCTGTTGGTTACAGATTATAACTTTATGTCGGCTCTGTGAGAGACACGCAGGCGCAGTGGGGGTCTGTAAACAGTCAGGATAACACATCAGATTTACATTAAGAGTCTTTTTGCTTTTTGAGAGACAGTATGACTTTACAACAACGTTTTATCCTCTTTTGTATTCATGCATATGCTTCATTTTCCTTAAGTTAGTGGCTTCCAACCTCTAAAGGGTTCACAAGATAAATCTGAAGGGACACAAATGATTAAAGGGATGAGAGAAATAACTATTTGTTTATTTTTGCAACTTTTTTTTATCATTTCTTTCATATCTTCACTTTTTTTATACCTCTTATAGTTAAAAGATTTAAAGAAATCTCATTCACAATGCTGTGTCTGTCGTTATGAGCGGATATGTTGGTTAAATGCAGAGTTTATTAGTTAAATTTGTATATTTTTGTATATATTTTAAGGTTTCCACTATCTGTTCTACCTTTTCTTTGTGCGACACAGTTAAAATATCATCAGTATACATTTTTATGGGTAAAGTTTTAAGTCCAGTTTGTCTTCAGGGCGGCTGACTGGAAGCTGGATACCCCAGACTGGTCTGGTCGAATGAGGATCACAGCCAAGGGCCAGGTGGCGTTCATCAAGCTGGAGGACAAGATCTCAGGTGTGACTTCACTCTGTATTAAACTTTAAAAAAGCTCCATCATATTACATTACTTACTCACTGACATATTGTTTATCTGTCCAAGATGAATCCCAGAATAACCTCCAGCCGCCAGGGACTCTAATCCGGATTAACAGTTGATATAAATACATTAATAAATGGATAGTTCACTGTTTATCTCGTGTAACCCCTCTCCTGTCCTGCAGGGGAGCTGTTTGCCCAGGCACCAGTTAAAGAGTACCCCGGTGTTACAGTGGAAACGGTCAGCGACTCCAGCCGATACTTTGTCCTGCGGATACAGGATGACAACGGTAGAACAACTCAACTCCATAACATCCGTTAACCTCCCCTGTTTGCCTCTGGCTGCTGTTAGTGTCACTTATTGTGTCGTCTTGTCCGCAGGTCGCAGTGCTTTCATAGGAGTTGGCTTCGGGGACCGAGGGGACGCTTTCGACTTCAACGTGGCTTTGCAGGACCATTTCAAGTACGCAGTGACGGGGCGGTTTTACGATGCTGTCTCTGCGATGTGCAGCGCTGTGTGGTGCTGTGGAAACCTGCTGAGCTGGGCTGTTTACGTCTGTGTGTGTGCTGATGTGTGTCTCTGCCTCTCTGCAGATGGGTGAAACAGGAGAATGAAATCAGTAAAAGCGCCCAGCTCGGGGATTCGGGACCAAAACTGGACTTGGGCTTTAAAGAGGGACAGACCATCACACTCAACATAGGGGTGAGGACCAGGGTTTACCACATTTTCACTACATTTCAAATAAAATGAGACAGTTTGCTGCCTTAATAATAAAACCTTATTTTAGCTGGTGGTTTTATGATGGAGTTATCCTGCAAGTAGTCATAATAAATCATCATCGCAGGCATTTAGAGGGCTTAAAAGTAACTTTATGATGCTTATAAAACTTAAAATAGAGTGTAACCAGAGATCCAAAGCGCTGAGGAAGTCATAATTTACATTTAATTGGCAGTTTTGCAGCAGAAATAAAAACGGGGATTGAGCTCCTGTAAAGAAACTGGTGGAAAATACTTCATGAATTTTTCTTTTCTTTTCTTCTAGCAAGGTAAAAAGAGGGATAAGCCCCGCCCACAGGGCTCAGGTGGATTTGGACTCCTCCCGCCACCACCTGGAGGCAAGATAGCCCCTCCTCCTTCGTCAGGCTCATCCAATCACAACATAGTCCCGCAGACGGGCAGCACAGCGACAGGTAAAGGGTGTAACACAGTGTAACGGCACATTTAATCTGTGCAAATAGAGCATTTAAAATCTTTGTGGACTTTGTGGGCGTGGCATTCGACTGTGTCATAATCTCGTGCAGCTTTAACACCACAGGAGTGACCTGTTTTCGTAATCACCGTGTTAATTAGTTGCTGTCGGATGAGTCGGAGAGTCATTAGAGCTCCGGGCTGCAGAAAAAAGAAGAGAAATGTGTGTCAGTTTGTAAGAAATCTACTTTTAATGAGCTCTGTGTTTCCCTCTCTGTATCTGTGGCAGGCTGCCTGTTGGAGCTGGACACTAGTAACTCTAACACAGTGGTTCAGACAAACACTAGTTCAGATCTTTGGGGAGACTTCTCCGCTCCTGCAAGGTAGACCGCTCACTTCTTGAATTATACACTATGTGGCCAAATGTATGTGGACAGACTGCGGGGATTTGTTCCCATTCAACCACAGGAGCATCAGTGAGTGTCGGGAGTTCAGGTCTGGATCCAGTTCATCACAACGGTGCTGGATGGAGGTTGAAGTTCTTTCAAACCAAACGAAGAGAGAAATTTAAAATACAATTAAAGGTGCAGTGTGTAACATTCATAGGAGGAGCTATCGGCAGAAAAAAAGAGATTTAGCCGTTTTTTAATCTATTTATTTACCTCGCAACTGACATTACTAGATGCCACAGAATCCTACACACTGGTCCTTTAAATAATTTAAATGAAAATAAATGGGTAAATTACTGTAACAGACAAAATAGAGCAATCATATTAATAATAAAGGGAAACAAATGGGGGGTGTCCACATACTTTTGACCATATAATGTAAATGTACTGTGTTTTTTTTTTCAACATTTTGTGCAAACTTTACAATATAAATAAGAGTTATGTACATCTGAGCATTAACACTCTCCTGTTACAACTTCTACAAACAGCTTGGGAAGAAATTTAAGTGAATTAAAGTATGTTATTGTAAATGTGGAGTAAGAGAGGTGACAACAATGCAAAACACTGGAATTATCCTTTAATAACTGACAGTTTCATCATCATAGTTCATAGAAAAGAAGTCACATCAGTGTTTGTGTTTTCAGCTCCGTTCCCTCGTCGTCACGACCACAGGACACCGGAAACTGGATCCAGTTTTGAGCCGTCGGCCGCTCACGTCGCTTGTGATCTCCATCTCACCTGCATCTGTGTCTGTAGCTTCCTGTGCATCACACTGAGATTAACCCTCACCCACTGATCCCAAAGCAGACACATGAAACACCACGGAGCTGTAGAAACAACTCATGGCATCGATTTCATTCAGAAAGAATCATAGTTCTTTGAGATATTCTCGACAGGAAATGAAGCATTAGTGCGTTAAAGCCATCACACGATATGAGCCATTTCCAATAATATTTAAGGGCTATGTGTTAGGAGAGATCCTCTTTTATGTGTCTGCATCGCCTCCCCAGTAGATGGCTCTCTGAACTGAGCTTGATCTTTGATCTGGCATGGTTTAGTCTCTGCAACAGCTCCCCCTGCAGGCACTGCAGAGTACTACATCTCAAGGAAAGGCACCGGTGCTTTCTGTAACCTGCTGTGAATAATGTGCTAAAGAGCTGCATGAACTGTAAGACAACAATCAAAGAAGACAAAATTCATGTTCTTTATTGTTTTAGAATTGGCACTTGAATCTCATTTTTGCCAATCAGCCTCATTATTTCTTTCTGAGTGATTTAGAAATGACAGCAGCGGCCTGTCTAACTTGTTTTAAATATAAGTCCTAAAGGAAGAACAGTTTATGACACATGACACTCTTTTACCTCATTTGCAAGACTTTTTCACTAAAAACTGAGACTGAACAGGGGATTAAATGACCCGTTCGTTCCCGCCCTCACACTGTGAATTGTGGAGTAGTACAGCCTCGTCCACGTCTCAAGATATCTGTATTTAAAACAACTGCTGTAGGTCTAAAGTGTGGTTTGATTACATAATGATAATGTAAGTGGATATAAGATGCAGCTCAAAATGCTTTACGGGATATGAAAACTAAATGGTCCAGATTTCAAATCTCCGAATGCAGATGAAATTATCTTTATTGTGCCATCAAAATGATTCATTGTAAGTATTTAGTGTGTTTATAGAATCACTGAGCTCCCTGAACGTGGGATGAGATACTGTAGGTAAAATGTTACGTTCATAGAAATATACGGGGCACATTAACATTCCTCTCTGGCGTATTAAATATATAAATTTATGTTTACATATTCGTGTTTACTGGCTTATTTCCTTTTAAGTGTGAAATCAGCAGCCAAATCCAGACCTATGTATTCCTTACTGTCAACTATTGACATTTTACACACCTTTACCACGTCTTCTTAGTAAGATAAGAGTTAAATACACCGTATTGTGCAGGAGTTTGCTGATGGGTGTTGGCAGTAAATTCAAACTACAGGTCTTCTTCACCCCAATTAATGTTTCAACCTCTTGTAAAAACAGCATCTCACCCCAGTTAACTTTCCCATTTCTGAAATCCAATCCTAAATTGATTAAATAAAGTAAACCAGAGCAGGAATGTAGGGTAACAGAAGCCCTGAAAACCAGTTGGGGGGGGGGAGCAGTGGGGAGGTCTAATGTGGGCACGGTTGGCAAGCAAATCTCAGCTTCACTTTTTGCATTAAATACACTGTAAACTATTAACTGTCCACCAGATTCACAGTTGGATATTAAGACTACTGCTGCATCCCCTGCACCTCCAGAAGAGAACAAACAGACTGAGAGACTCATTCTCAGGAGTGTGATTGCTACAGACGTGCATGTAATCAGTTTACCTGCTTTTTTACATGTTTGTGAAACAACCATGAGGCTTTTTGATAGGCAGAATGTTTAGGGAGCTGTAGTTTACCTGCAAAAGCAGCCCTGTCGTGACCTTCGGTATGAAATACAGAACGTTTAATGGAAATAAGAATAGATCTTGATAAACACTACAGGAATTTACCAAGTATATACTCTATATATACAGTATAACGGCAAAAGCAGGTTTAGACAATCTGAGGAAAATATTTGGATCTTAAAGGAGTAGTTTCGACATTTCGAGAAATGCGCTTATTCGCTTTCTTGCTGAGAGTTATACAAAAAGATCGATTGTATCTTAGCTTAACATAAAAACAGCTAGCCTGGCTCTGTCCAAAGGGAACGAAATGTGCCTACCAACACTCCTAAATATCACTAATTAACATGCTATATCTTGTTCTTTAGATTTCCCAAAATGTCAAACTGCTACTTTAATTTATTTTACTAATGAGTGATATTCTACTTAAAGGAATGAACCTACAGGTTTCCCCTATGTGGCTTATTTCAGACTGTGAAATGAAATCACAAATGCTCTTTTACTGAACCCATGTATACTGTCGGAGGTGGGAAAAACAATATGATTGTCTAACTTCATCAGATGAATGTCTTAATGGCAGCAAAGGATATGTTCATTTATGTGCTGAAAAGGCTTTTAAAGGGTTTGTGAAGTTTAATGATGTTTACAAGATTTTGACATATGAGTTGTCATTAAGATTTGACTGTGAATTAATTTTATTTGCATAGATTTTTACGGTTTGCTGTGATCAAATCACACAAACTATTTGATTGGCATTAAGATACAGGGCTGATTGATATGATATGTTAATATGTGTGTTGTGTTTACATTTGCTCGCATTGCTAGCTAAACTATAAAAATGTCTCCCATTTCTCACTCATTCCACTCTGGCTGTAAAGTCACTGGACTAACACTTTTGATTTATGACCAATTTAACGAGAAAGAGGCAATAAATCCTTTCAAAGGACGTGTGATGTCTTGTTCTTATTTTAAACGCTTAGAGCACTTACACACACAGTATCACTAATAGCTGCAAAAACTACAAAGTTATGTAATAAATCACTCAAACTGTTTAAAGCGGAATAGTTTCTCTTTTGTTAGATTTTAATGAATCCCTCCAGGAAGTTGTGATTGCAACAATGAACAAATCAACCAGTCCCTGTGAATTCTGCAATTCCTTCGCAATTTGGTCCAACCACCACAACTTTTCTGCAAATTTGACGAATGATTGTAGTTTCCCGCCCAAAATTCATACGTCACCAAACTCCCTTCCTCATTTAGAGTTGTAAAGATCCAGACCTGTCTCACATTTACCCTCCAAACTCTGCGATTTTATTCTCACTGGATCTGGTTGCCTTCAATTTTTAATGAATCATACAAAATAAATCTCAACAATGTTTACAATTGTCCCTACTCCTTCAATTTCATTGTAAAAAAATGCCTAAAAGCACAGAAAAGCTGTTGTGAAATCAGGTATTTTAGGCCGCACCAATCCCTTAAAAAAGCCTGTGAATTCCTGGAAGGACTGAGGTTGGTGCCAAAAGTGCGGCCAACCATTTACATTTCCTGATCCCTGAATCATTGCATCATTGCACACCTCCTACACTAAGCATAAATATTATAAAAAGAAGCTCTTGATGGTATTTTGTTGTGGCTGCGGCACTCTTGACTTATGACACAACTGCGAGTCTTTCCGACGCACCCCAGCTGTATGTGGGCGGATTACCTCTCTGTTGTTATCTGAAGGTCAAGAGCGTGACGATAAGTCAGAAACATAACAGAGTGACATAACAGGCCACCGAAGAAGTGTCAGATGGTGGGTGATGATTTGACCTTCGACACGGAGCAGGAAGTCAGTGGTGACAGAGAGGCAGCTGGTTGTTGGTTTAATGTTTGGAGCTTTTTGAAGGTTTGAGACTAGTTCTACATAATAAAGTTTGGTTTATTACAACTTCTGATTTAATGCGATGAGAGAACTGCAATATGTCTACAGCAAAGTCCCATCAGACTTCTCTTGATGTTATTATTACCATTAGGACTGATGGCTAAAACTATGGAAACAAGATCCAAGTGGTAATAAACTCTTGAAATTCTCATGAACAGTTTTTAAAAGTAATAAAACAATTGTTGACTTTTCAATGTTATGTTACTTTTTTCAGAGGGAAATACTAAAATTTTATTACATTTTGTTCCACATAAACTGTATTTGGCACCTATTAAGCTCAAACATGTGCTCAGTTTGTAATGATCATTTTATTCTAAGGTCCAGTGTGTAAGATTTAGGAGGATCTATTGGCAATAATGGAATATAACATTCATAGGTATGTTTTCATTAGTGTATAATCACCTGAAAATAAATAATAATATTAATAATCATTAGGTTTTTGTCCAGAACAGACAAACCAAACACTGCCTCTATTTAGGGTATTTTCCATATTTTGCGTAGCTGTTTTCAAATGGTTGCAATCTGCAAGTTCACTGCTAGATGCCACTAAATCCTACACACTGGTCTTTTAAATACAATTTAAATGTAATTTTGTGTGCATATTGCTACTTTTATATAAATAAATGATTTGAATCCTTCCTCCACCACTGTCACTGACACTTGCAGGGCAGAGAGATCCCTCCATTGCACCGTCTGTAAGCAGCTAGTTAGGTCAGAAACAGACAGTCACAGTAGAAGTGAGAAATATTGCGTAAGATCAGGACATGACCTCATTGAGCAGTAGCTTTTAGCTCTGCTGACAGACAGAAAAAGAGAGCGTGAGACAGCTGTACGGAGAGACTGAGGGCGAGAAGAGGAAACCAGTGGCAGGTTCAGATCTCGCTGGCCTCACCGGTGCTTCATCAGGAACACGATTCATCTTCCTCTGATCGTGTTGTCATCGACTCTGAGGCCATTTGAACCTTTTGCTATTCGTCTTAACTAAGAGTGACAGCTCTGAAACTAACTGATCACATGCTCAGATAGTGTGTGTGTGAATGTGCTGTATGTGAACTCTGTATTGCTGCGTTGATAATTCACACTCCTCTTTTGATCTGGGTCACCTCCTGTTCTGTAACCCACACTGAGGAGCACATCTCTCCCGAACACCATCACATGTGTCATTTTGATGGATTCATTCGGATCTGTGTTGCAGCCAAACACAAATTAGTCTTCAGAGAAATTCAAGATTTAATACACCTGATATCCCTGCGTGCTCTCTGCAGATTCTGTTCCCCTTCCCAGAAAACTTTCCTATCTATCATTGGGGGGATTGATGAGACTTAAAGGTTCTACATGTAACTTAAATACAAACTGTACAATAGTCCCATCATTAAAAACCCATGTTTTTCATTAAAAAGTTGGAGTTTATAAAGGTTAAACTTTTTTCAACCACAGAAACCATTGCGAGGGACAACATTACATTAGGACATTGTTTATGTACAAAATGTTGTGCCAATCCATCTGATGGATGTTGAGATATCGTCCTGGTTAAGTGAAAGGTTTGACTTGCTGGTGGATGAAAACACTACACACCAACACTAAACTAGGAAACTATCATCTTCTCTACACTGACAGCTGCAAAATTTAGGATTGTGGCTTTATCACACAGTCTATCTGTCTGACCGCACTGGTTGGGGTCGGGCAGACAGACCGGACTAGATGGCCAACAAATGTTTAAAGGGACTTAGGTCACTAAGTCTAATCTTAGCTTAGCACTTTCAAAGCTACATAGCACTTCATAAAATAAATAGACAAGTAACTTTTCATTTGGCTGGAGGTTGTGATGAGAAGAACGCAGAGCGGGTGCCCAGAGATGGTGTCGCTGTCAGAAAAACGACATGTACCCATTACTGGAGATCTGTTGGCCTCCTTCGGATCCAAATGAGGTACCAGAATGCGTTCACGTGCTGCTCTGAAGCTACGACACCAGCAGAACTCCAAGTTCCTTTCAAGTAGGGTGCTAAACAGGACTGCAATGATGTGCTTTTTCACCACACTAATGGCACTGTTGGTCCACTGTGGTCCAGATATAAGAAGAAGAATAAAGCCTGACCAGCTCTAGAAGATCGACCCGTTGCATCGCGGTGCTTTTTATCTGCGCTACGGGCGCCGCCTTAATAACACTGAACCCTGGGAATTCGCCCTGTGTACCCAATAAAACTGTAGTCTGTCACACATATGATCTTGACCTCTTAATAAAATCATCTGCCAGGACAGGAAACAATCTTTAAACTTTGCAGCTTCGTAGCATTTCGCAACGTCTGCATTTACACTCAAATATTGTCTTTCACTATTTATTACCCCGTTAAAATGATAGAAATTTATGATCCGTCCATTAACTTCTAGTCTGTCTTTTCTCACTTTTCTCATGAACAAACACACACACACAGTCACACTCACTGCTACACAACCCTGGCGTACTTAAAACACATAGCGTTAATGCAACATATCGGGTGAAATGTCAGGAGAGGAGTTTGGATCAGAATAGTTCACGAGCCACCGGCCAGTGTCCCCCCTCCAACCCGCTTCCCAAGTGTAATCAAACTGTCTCTCTTTAACAAGCTTGCTAATTCATGAGTTTTGGCTGAGGATGGTTTGTGAAATAGCTTGTTCCTCCTCACAGATGATCTCTTTATCTCAACTCTGCCACTTTAATAACATCAGTAAGTTCTCGTCTGCTCAAACCAGCAGCGATACACTGTCTGACACTGAATGCTAGTGTGATTTAGGTGCTGCTGGAATATGCAAGCTGACAGAGAGTTCAACGGTCAAAGGTTAGAGTCGCATATGATCACTCCTTGCTTTGAAGTTTTCAGTGAAACCTAAACCAGGATTTACTGATATTTGCTTTAGATAGCTAAAGCTTTCTGTATTCTGTATATATTATCTGTAAAGCCTTAGCTCTCCTTTGTGTGTTTTTGGTACTTTTGGCCTGTAGAGAGCCGTAGTCATGACGTCACGTCTGTGCTACTCACAACCCCCTGACTCACCCATACAGACATTTCATCAACATTGAATCTTTTTTATGGAAACCTAAACATATGTTACTATTCACCCCTTTGTTGTTCCATAGAAAGCCTCAGCAATGTGGCTATGTGTGTTAACAAAGAAGTGGCGGAAGTGGCAAGTACATTTGCCAAACCATCCAGTTAGTCTTCATCGTTGAGGTCAAATAATAATGTTTTAAAACACTTCTGATAAACCATAAATCTCTGCCTGTTGTAACCACTGGGGGGAAAACACCAAGCACACCCTCCTCGCCAATTGTCACATACCAGTGGGTGTTTTCCCTGATGAGCTGCACAATGAGGTGGCGTAGACGACACACTGAGGACTTACTTGGAAAGAAAACGCAAAAGCTGATTTGATTTATCAAAATTGATTTCAGCATTATGATGCACAGCTTTTCTATGGAACCATCTGGACTGGAAGTGCAGATAATAACATATTTCTTAGAAAGGATGTTGAGTGGGCGCCTGGTTAGCTCAGTGGGTAGAGCTCCTTGCTGCAGCGGCCCAGGGTGGTTTGAATCTGACCTGCGGCCCTTTGCTGCGTGTCATCCCCTCTCTCTGCCCCCCTTTCCTGTCTGTCTCCAGATGTCCTATCAAATAAAGGCATAAAAGCCGAAAAAAAAAGAAAGGATGTTGAGTTATTTACGTTATTACAATTATCAGAGGTATTTCTATGGTTTCTGAACAGAACCTAGGAATTTCTTGTTTCACTTTGGCAGTACTTTAACAGTTCGGAGGAAAATGAACAGGAAATAAAGACCATTGGTGTTAAAAAATGTTTCTGTAATGATTCAGTTCCACATTTCTATTTTTAAGGCGATCTGGGTGTGAGGGTAGTCGGCACATCCTTACATAGGCTGAATAGATGTAATGTCCTGCAGCGATTTTTTGTTGTTGTTTTCACCTCAGCTTATTTACGACTCCTGTGTTTTTTATTAGACTGGGCAGCGGTTCAGCATTCTGCGGTCTGTCACTGCTCCTCTCTCCCTCTGACCTCACCGTCCTCTCGCCCTGTGAATGCTGCCGCCTCTCACTTTTCCACAGAAGTGTTAAAGATCAAATTGTACAGTAGCCGCCCCCCCGCCACTGCTGCAGCATGGGAAACGGAGACCAGAAGTATGACTGCGAATAAACAAACCTGCATAAACAAACTAGCTAGCATGCAGCTAAACAAGGAGAGCGTTTCAAAGAGATAGCAAAGTGGCAAACTTGAATGACTCAAAAGACTGTCAGACAATAAATTATACTGAGGGTTTTTGTTCATTAGCATTTATAACCTGTGGAGTTTAGCGAGCTGACGAACATGCTGACACCTAGATGCAGATTATGACCTGGTTTAAAGTTTTGCAGAATTCTTCCGCGTGCAAAGCCAAACGCTGAACATGGCTCAAATTCAGCTGCAATGCTAAATCACCTACTACTGTTATTATGGGTGAATAAAATCTCTGCTGTAACATGGGCAGCATCCCCCGCAATGCAGCCCCCAACTGCCTTTAAATGCTACTGTTGGTCTGAATGCGGGTTTATATGATCAGTGAAAATATTTCTTTTAAAGAGCAATGTGGCTCAATGCTTCAACCATCCTCCGCAGTTGGTACCCAGCTGATTGTACCGGCATTAGAAACAGTGTGTTCAGTGTGTGACTTGGCTGGACTTTGAGGCTGAGGGGTTGGAGCTGTGGCCCTGCGACACATACATGGTGCAGAAAGGTTGTAGTGTCAAATTTACGGCCGCGGGTCTATTTTTGAAAACATCTGGGGAAGCTGTCCAGATGGTCCTCATGTGTGTGTCTGTGTGTGCTTGTTAGCGTGTGCGTGTGATCCATTTGCATTGGCGTATAATCTTACGAGGACATTATTCAGATGTCAGCGTGCCAGGCCATGTTTTCTTAAGGTCAGCATATTTAAAATCAGTTTCAAAATACATTTATTTACAGCCGCTGGCAGATTTTTGTGTTTATGATGTGAAGTAAATTGAATGGATGATTCACTGTGCTATCAGACCATTTTAAGCTGTTCAAACAAAAGAGCCTTTTACAAAAACTGGTTTATTGAATTAGAATTATTATTAAGTATTTTACATTGTACACTTGTATTGTGTTACTAACACTCGAAAGGCATTGCAGTATATTGTCATATTGAGTTTAATACATTAAAAGTTTAATACAAATAATAGTGTATATTTATTATAAAAATAAGAGAACCTGTAATTCTGTAATTATGTACAAAGTGCTAAAGCAGTAGAAAGCGTAAGTGCTAACATGCTAAAATATAAATAAAAAGCTAAAAGTTCCTATCTGTCAACTAGGTTTACAGTGCTACGTACACAAGTGCAACTAAAATAAAGTATATATAAATATATAAAATAAACTAGCAGCATATAAGGATCTACTTCCATAAAGTGCCTCAGAATAGGCTGATATTTACTTGATATTTTCGCCTTTTGAAACACTTTTAACTCTTTGAAGCCAGGTAGGAAAAATGAGTGTTGTGGTTTTTGCACTGTACCTCTCAGACTGTTAGCAGACGTGTTTATGGCTGTAAAAACTGGGCGCTACCGCCGTCTATATAAAGTTCAAGGCTACTATGATGTGTAGACCCATATAGATGCAGTGTGCTAAAGAGGGTATCTTTTACAAGGGCAGATAGCATTACAACACCACTAAACAACTGCAGTTATTAACATTTTTCAAGTCACTTTCCATAAGATACAGCTAGTTATATAGTAAATATTTTTTTAAATAATTAAAAAGACATTGTTAAAATAATGAAGTGACTTCCTTGAACAAATGAGACTGTGGTGGAAACAGTTAAAACCAAATCTCCTATAAACCATCTTGTTTTCATTTAGCAAAAGGGGATTTCTTTTCCCTCCTGTTTGAAGAGCATGAACATGTGGGAAATGGTTTTTCCATCAGTCTCCCACCCCTTCACACCCTCTGCCATCAGCCGCTCTCAAACCCTCAGCTACACTTCAGGATCAGTGTCCTCTCACAGTGTAAAATGTAATGTCGAGGCTCACAGTCATTTTAGTTTTGGACTTATTTGTTGTAATTATGAAAGATTATATGATTTTTTCCCCCCAAATCTTTGTATTTGTACTTGTTTTTTTGTTGTTGATTAATCTATCACTTTGTTGATTCATTTAACGTTTGACTCCCAGTCCAAATTCCAAAGATATTCCATTCACAGTTATAAAACAAAAAAGGAGCAAATTCTCACATTTGAGAAGCTTGAACCAGAGAATGTTTATGTGTTTATCTACTGTAGTCTTTACAGTGTTTGTAGTTTATCACCACCATGGCTTCTTGAGGCACAATAAAATATGTCTGCTAAAGAAACTAAAAGCAAAATTAGTCAGGTTTAATAAATTAAACCTAAACATCACCTATATACTGATCAGTTCATAAGTCTACTTATCGCTCTCCTCTCCCCTCCATCTCTTTCATGTTCCTGATCGCTCCTTTCCCTCTGCTCTTCTTCCTCTCCGCCTCCAGCCGCACCCTCTCCTTCTCCATCACCCAGTCCCCTCCGAGGTAACTCAGCCCGTCCTCAGGTCGTCCCCGAAGCCGGGGCCTCGGGTCGAGGAGCGACTGAAAGAAGGAACAGGCCAGCGGGGTGAAACATGCAAACTGGGGGGCTATGGGAGGGCGGTCTTTCTTTCCAAGTTCTGCTCCAATTAAACCAATGACATCCTGTGTGCTCTCGCCCTGCGGCTCTGCCCACACGTCCAGTTCGTCATCAGGGCCTTTTGCCCTGTCAAACCACTCCTGGTATTTCAGGTATGAGTGGCAGTCGCTGGCTGTTTCGGCCCAGGGATGACTGCCAGTGAGCATAGCATAGGTCAGTATCCCCAGTGCCCAGCTGTCTGTGCTGGGCTCCACAGACACCCAAACTCTTGACTCCTTTTTCTTCTCCTCATTCTCCTGAGCGCCGTCATTCATGCTTTTCCAGCTGTCCTCATTTCCGCGTGCGATCTCAGCCTCGGGGGTGCAGTAGGGAGAGCTGTACCAAACCTCTGGGACCCTGGTGCCTCTGGCCTTCACCTGGTGTAGAAGGTTCATTTATTTGTCACTTACAACAAAGAAACATGTAAAAATACAGTAAATATATCCAAGAAATACATCCATCCACCATGAGCTCCTCCCTATGTGTGTTGCTCTATAATATCTGATCTCCTCCTTGGCTCCTGTCATGATTCTAGCTATGGTCACTTCAATGTAAACAGGAACGGACTTATGCAGTAGTTCTTCTTGGAAGACATAATCTAAATGTTGTTATTTTTAGAATAAGTCTCTCATCATTTGCTATGTGTTATACTGACCATGCCAAAGTCTCCTAGTTTGACCCAGCGGCAGGCGGAGTCACACAGGAAGACATTCTCTGGTTTTAGGTCTCTGTGGACGAAACCAAGAGAGTGCAGGTGGGACAGAGCGCCACACAGCTGGGACACCACCCGCTGACAGCTGTCCTCCTCCATCCCGACCTGGGATGATGGAAGGAGAAGATCACATCATTTCTATTGCTTACTCTTTGTGTTAAACTGACTGCAAACCTTCATAGCCATGACTATAAACTATTATTCAAGCTAGCAGGAGCAGAAACTCCAGATCCAAAAAATGTAATCTGTCAGTTATTTCTTAGTCTAATAAGAATCTCTCCTTTAGACCACACATCACTCACTTTTGCATTTCATCACACCGTAGAAATATGAACATAAAAACTATGATAAATACAGTGTTTGTTGTACTGTTCACTACCACTTAATAGCTCTGTTGTATACCTCAGGCAAGATGACATCGTAGAGATCGCCAAAGAGCCCCGCTTGCTGAGCGAAGACGTAGTGTGAAGGCGTGGAGTAGGCGATTCCCATGGCTCTGGTCAGGGACGGGTGGGTACAGAACGACAGAGAGAGGTTGTACTCCCTCAGGAACGAGAAAAGAGAGGTGGATTCACGAGGGAAGAACTTCAGAGCCATCGGGGTACCTGGGTTATACAAGGGAAATATGTTGATATAGGTCTATCTGTCGAAGCTATAACGAAGATACTGTAGTTTCTCTCCTCACCTCTCTTCCTGTGAACAGCCAGCATGACTTTGCCATACGAGCCTTCACCCAGAAGCTTTAGGACCTTGAAGTGCTCCGATGTGTCCAATGGTGTCAGGGACTGAGCCGTCAGATGGCACATCTCGTCCAGAAGCTTCGTGGCAGCCTGGACACACACACACACACAGAACAAAAAGGTTACATTTTTGTGGAGCAGATGTTAGATTACTGGAAAACCTGTAAAAGTGAATTAGACTCAGAAACTTTTTGGACCACAGCGGGTGCTGCTGCTCCAGGAGGAGAACCAGATAGAAGCCATTCTGGCACAGCTAGGATTTAAGGCTGCTCCTGGATAATGTCCGGTCTGGATTAAATGGGACTCAGGCTGGCCAAACAACGTGATGCTTGCTGTTTGTATATTGAAGGGACTGCACAAGTTAACTTCGTTATACAACCTTGTGTTGCATAATGATAAATACATTTCCATGATAATTTACAACTTTGCAGACTGCAGTTGTAGAACGCTGCCCACACTATTTCACGTTTTCAGTCTGACTGCACCACACAGCGTTTATGGCACTGACAACACCAGGACCCCCGCACTATAACTGCTAAATGAGAGGCAGCATTAATGTTATTAGTCACACGTGGATTTCCTACTATGACAAAAGACTTCTGACAACAATGTGATGGTTTAATCATGCAAAAAGAAAAAAAAAGCTGCATTACAGTGGTTTAAATCAGTCATGGATTGATTGGTAAAGAAGAGGACCAGCAGACTTTGGTGCACTGGTGCAAATAGACATTTTGACTCAACTAACAACACCAATGCTGTCTCCAGAGGACGAATAAACACAAAATTTGAGGAGCAGTCGTAGTTTTAGTGCCTCTTCCTTGCAGCTCTTTGGAATGTAACACAACTGTTGCCGTGATGATTGTTGTCATGGAGATGCTTGCAGCACTGATCCTCGGGTATAAACATGTCTGTTAATAGCCTCATGAAATCCCTTCGACCCACACACACACACACACACACACTGATCTTTGTTTTGTCTGGTGGAACGCTGATGTTTCCACCACAGCTGGCACCCTTGGGCCCGGGCTGGGATTTGGTGTCACCGTAGATATGAGGCAGCTCATTACAGCTCATTAGAGAATAACTCAGAGCTGCAAAGTTGCTGTACAGAGATACTGTGAATTCCTGCTGAGGCTTCATTCACACCAACAAACACAAGGACTCAAAACATTCTGGACGGATTTCATGTACGAGTTGTAAGTCGTAAGAGAGAAAAACATACGGGGGTGTTTTCGATGCAGTGAGTGAAAAAATGGAAGTACGGTCAGAGATTTTAGTTAATCTGCATCTAACGTGTTTATTTAGAAAGATGCAATATAAAAAAATATTCAAATTCCTAGTTTATGACATTATTTTGCATAATACAGCAGTGTTATGCCACCAGCACTATGTGTGGATACATTATTAGTGTGGGTGGTCTCAGGGGAAACTGAACTCTGACCCTCTGAGTGTTTGTGCCTCGCTCTTAATTACTGAGCTATTCAGGTCTGTGTGAGACAGACACTTAAAGGAACAAACAAATAGAGGCAGCGTATCACCAGAGTAACTGCTAACTGCTGCTAACTGCAGCGGCCTTTCGCTAGTTAGCTCAGTTACTCTGAGCTCTGCCACACACAATTATGAATCCTGCTATGAGGAAGGGTACGATAAAGGGTTGGACCCCGGGATGCCAGGAGCCAAACCCCGGCAAGAAAACCACCTCAGTGTTTTTTTTATGCTTTAAACTGGAATTCTTACATATTGCACCAGATCAAATAAAAACTGTATTTCTTGTGGATTAATTTCATTATAGTTTTTAGCATGACAGTAACTATTTGTTTATGGTTCTTGATGCAAGATTTAAATGTTTGTTTAGTAATGAATCATGAAAATGAATCAAAATGAGTCATATTCAGAAAGTAAGATTTTATGACTTGAAAAAAACAACATATATGTCCTTTGTTGTATCTCCAAAAAGTCAAGTCATGAGCTAATACTTAAAATACCCTCAAAATTATTCAATTTGGAAATACATCTTTTTTTTGCTGCTATTCGTTAATAAGTCAGCTGGGAGACAGGCATTAAAAGCGTGGATCACAGTCCCACAGCAAGCCTGACAATATCACCCTCTATACGATCGCTCAGCGCTGGTATCGGGTCCCTTTAGATATCAAGTGAGGTGACAACACCGTCCCCTGAAGCCGCACAGAAAAACTCCAGCAGCTTCCTCTGGTGGGAATGCAACGGCTGACATTTGCATAAAGACACCAACACCACCACACACACACACACACACACACCACACAACACATCAGGTTTACGACCATACCGATGTGTGTGTGTGTGTGGGTCTGAGATCAACTCGCTCCACTCGTCGGCACCCCTCCTCTACCTCGATGGAATGGATCTTCTGTGCACCACTATCCCGCACTCCCCAACTCACAACCAACAGACACACCAGTGTGTGAAGACAAGAATGTTCTGTCTTATGTGTCAATGGTGGTAGTCGGTGTTCGCTGCTGGTCGGATCAGTCATTGACACCTGCGAGGTATTGGGGACATAAACACGTCTGTCAGACTGCACCCATCCAGGACCGCCTCCTTTAAAGCATGTAGACGACACAAACATGTCTAGTTTTCATGCATCTATGTTGAGTGAAACCAACACTGAAAACACTGTCAATAATTCTTACATTTATATCGAATATTTAAATATATATACTCGATATAGCTAAATCCCATGTTCAAGTTAATATTTGAGAAGAACTGACGTAGATAAATGATATTTTAAAACAACTTCCAGTTCATACATAATGGGGTGTAACCGTGGTATAGACATTGTAAAGGGCCAAATGTGATATTTTTTAAGTGGATTTCCCACAATTCTGTGATCTTGATAGGAACTAACTGACCTTTAAATGCACCTACCGAATAGAGATTATCAATTTTCCAATAGCAACAAAAGTGAGTTATGGACTGAAATGATAATGATCATGAGAGCAACAATTGTTGTAGAGTGTAATGAAATAACAAAATACATGAGATACATATACAGTTTTCTATAATTACATAATATTAGATTTTTATGTCATTTGTCTTAAGATTATTCTTCAAGAAATATATTTATCCCTCCAAAATCAGCTTCAAAATGCACCTTAAGTGAAGTCCTATTGCATCATTACATTAATTATGAATCCTTTAAAATGTATAAATACACAAATAAATACAAATAAATAAATAAATACACTTTAAATATGCAAATCATAGTCCACATATTCTGATACTTAACTGTTATTTAAAGGTTCAGTTCACTGAAATTACAAATATATGTTTTTTTCTCATTTACCTTTTATACCATTTATATGTCTCTATATATCTCTCCATGCAGATAGTTTTGTTTTTATTTGTCCACAGTATAAAATATCTGTTTTTCTGCTTCCAGCAACATCTCAATCACTTTGTTACTCCATAGATCACAATGTGAACAGTATTCATAAGACTCAGATTCACTAGA